GGGGGGGGGTTCTTTTACTATCCTGTCCATTTGTCTAGGAAAAACTGTTATCACCTTTACAGCTAGTCATAACAAAAATTACTATTATGTAGTATCACTCTTAGCGGTGAGCGGTACAATGTAAAATACAACAGTTAAAGACTCAGTGATGACTCGAAGAACTGATAAACTAACTCTAAATAGGAAAAACAAAAATTAAAACCACAATAAATAGCAAAGTAACTCACCAAGCACAGCAGGCGAGAAACCAAGTTGCATATCGCCATGCAGAATACAGTTCCTAGTGGTCCCAACGTAGAGCTGGTCTCCTCTTCCTTCAGCGACGACCCTGACACCTCCATAGTGGCCTTCTATAGCGGCCTCCTGGCCCGTGGGAGTCAAGTCAGGCCCAAATAGTACCAGGCGACCGTCCTTGCCTCCAGCAGAAAGGACCCCACCTTCTTTCAGAGCGCATAGAGAGAATACAGCGCCAGAATGGACCCCGCGGACCAGTTTGGCGACCGTGTTAGTGCCACGAGCCCACACTGCTATGTTGCCGCTTGAGTCGCCTGATAGCACGTCGCCTGGAATTATATGCGTATGTTAGATGTTTGTTCCAGAATATTGTTTCGTTTGGGTAGTAATAAAAGCTCCGACAAGAAAAGAAGAATTGTCCTTACTGAAAATATGAAATCTACTGCCTAATATACTAACTTTCCGACTACTGTTGTTATTCAAAGATCCATTTTTATAGTCGGCCGTCAGATCGCTGGAGATTAATTTGTTTTTCGGAACCATTATTATTTTCCGTTTCGTTTGTCGCATGAGAATAACTGCCTTGCAAGCGATCTTGATTGGATTTCCAAAACTGTATATTAGTAAAAGTATCACTAAAGTACAAAGTTTACTGCAATAGACTGTAAATGTACTGCAATAGACTCATTTCGTGTTACTTGATATTTAAAAAGAAAATCGTTAAAAAGTAGATTTAAAGGTCCTCACCGGGAGCCTTCACGTGTAGTGTAACATTTTAGATTCGACTTTGAGCATTTCATGCAAGATGTCAGACGACGCGGGCGAGTGGGGGGCGGGGGCCATTGATGTTACAAGTTGTATCAAGATATTACACATTGTATCATTACAAGGTGCGCATTGTAATGCTCGGTTCTCCTCCTTCACTGATTTAATGCTCAGACCTGTAACGTTACATTACACGCGAATGCTCCCGGTGAGGGAGCACCTTAACATTCAATATGTACCCGTGTCTGAAAGCCTTTGTTGTATTTTCATATTCGTAATACAATACCAACTTTTGTGCCAACCACCTACCTACATCAATAAAATGATATTAATTTATTTCACCGAACTGTAAATATGATTATCCTGTTCACTCACCGTTATGGTTAAACCCGAGGCAGGTGACGTATTTAGGCTTGTCCCTCGTCTCGAACACTCCCATCCGCTTGTAGAGCATGTTGGTCTGGTCGAGCGTCCAGAACGCGATGTGGTTCTTACCGCACGTCACTATCTGGTTGCGGTCCAGGGGGTGGAACTCGCACGCCACCACCGTGTCTACTGAGCACTGGAATGGTTCAATTATACATTAAGTGACGTCGCATCAATTTTTCGAGAACCTCCAACTAGTTTCGGATCACACTGGGGTCTCATAATCAGAAGCTGAGAGCACGATTAATAAAGTTACTTAGCCAATGAGACGGTTGAAATTATATTGTACATGAAGCATATATTGCTTTATGAACGGATTGAAGATAGAGAAGTTAATAAGAAAAGTAATAAATACTTTTGTTATTTTAAAAGTGGCATGAAGTAGTAAGAGCCATTTGTTTTTCCTCTGTCGTACCTTGGTCTCAGCCAGACAGTGTCCCTTGTCCGGCCTCTGCCAGTCCCAGACGGAGATGGTATGGTCGGGCCCGTCGTCGACGGCGGCGAGCAGCGCGCCCCCGTCGGCGCGCGAGAAGGCCACGCACTGCACGGCGCGCTCCACGTGGCCCGCGCCCAGCACCGCCAGCGTCGACAGCGACACCGAGTTCCACACGCGGATGTGGGGCTGCGGGGGACAATTGTGTGTGATTTTCATTGTTGTTTTCATTTCATAACTTGTTGGTTCAAATAAATTAATGATATATTATCGTCTTTATTTAGGTAAAAGACGTAGCTGCAAAAACCTTTCAAGGTGAAAGTGCAATAACTGATAACTCCCTCGTTTTGCAAACGAAGTTGCAAGAATGCTGCTAGTGCTACTGAAGGACAGGTTTATTCGATACTAGCTAATTCCGCGCGGTTTCACACGCTCTGCTCAGTTCCTATTAGTCATAGTATGATGTTTTATAGCCTATAGCTATCCTCGATGAATGATCTATCCGACAAAAAAAGAATTACTCAAATCAGACTTGTAGTTACGGAGATTAGCGCGTTCAAACAAACAAACAAGAAAACAAACTCTTCCGCCTTATATAAAAGTATAAGATGTTCCCAGGAATAATGAGGTATTTGATCTTTACCATGATTTTTATTTCCAAAAACCTTAACATACAAACTGCCCGTCATGTCAAGCTACAATGTAGCACACTTACCCTGGCATCCAGCCGGTCGTGTCCGGCGCACTGTCCGCTGGCCACGATGAGCTTGTTGGGGTGTACGGCGAGACACTTGACGTCGTCGGTGTGTCCGGTGTAGTGGCGCTGGCACTGCTCCTCCACGTTGAACAGCACCACGACGGCCGCCACGAAGTACACTATCTCACCGGTCGGCAGCAGGTACAGGTTGCTGCGGCAGTCCTTGCCTCTGAAACGAAAGAATGTCGTAAGTCGTACAACAGCTACGAGTATTCTGGGATAAAGAGACATATAATTCAAAGTTGATTCGTCGACGTCTTGTGAATGATCACACCAAAAACAGGGGTCAAATCAATAAATCTATACAAGTCTTGAAAAGGATAATTAAATTATACTAAAGTCCAACTTCAGTGTGTTGCAATTTGTATATGCTCCCATATCGATGTAAAACCATCAAATTGGGTACTAACTACAAACGCCTAACAGCAATAAAATAACAACAACCATTCATTGAATTACTCAATTCTTTACACCTAATCAGCCAACAGTTTTTCGAGTATTTCCTAGTTTTTTACCCTATAAACGTAGTAGCGTTGCATCTGAGTCATAGGAAAGTGCAGTTCAGTATTCCCAGTTGGTTTTTTGATACAAGGTCGCGGTCTCAGTTGCGTGGTCAAGTGTAACGGCAGATGAGTCATCGCTTGCCTACCTCACCTGGCTATCGATTTGTATAGACAAGACGATGGTCACCACTGAAAGTGAGCGTATCAAATATTCACGAGAATATCGAGTTCTTGAAGGACTATCGATCGGTGATTAAAGAAAAGGTAAATAAGTTAGGGACGTCTATTACAGTAATCTTTTAGAGTACTTACCTAACCTTATTTGCTTGTCTTTTTTTTTTTTTAATATTTGATGGGGCGACGTTTGACCACTATCTCGCCTGGTGGTAAGCGATGAAATGTCCATTATCTCATGTCCTTGTTGGACATGAGATAATGGACACTTTGAACAATTTACAAGTGAAACAAATTGTTGTTTTTAGGGTCTTTGGGTTCCTAGTAAACTACAAAGTAGCTTAGAATTTAAAGAACAGAAAATTCCCTACATCTGCAAAGCCAATGTATGAGCAATTTTTGGGGATTTTGGCATACTCATATTTTGCGCGAGACAGGTGCAGTGTGTCTGCGTAAACGCAACGGTTCAGGTGGTAAATAAGGAAAGGCGATGGCATTTGATGACTTAATTGTAAACATCAGAAAAACCAAAAATGCAGCTCATTCCTGACTAGAAAATCCCATTAATGTTCACAAATATACTACAACTATCGTCTTAAAATATTCCAAAATGGATAATGATTAGTGTAGCAACATTAGTTCATAAAAAACTATAATGACTCAGATACTGCGATAATTACAAATTACAACAAACATCAAGATTACAGTACAATTGTTGTTTTTGTTTTAACCGAGCCGATTGTTGGTGGTTAGTGGCCTTGAATGGAACTAGTCTTTGAGTACTCTCGCGGAACTGGACGTGGTTTGTAGTAAAACTAGTATCTAGGCAAACTAAAGGAGAGTAGACAATATAAATGTAAGAACTAACTTGAATATGCCCACTGTCTGTAGTGCGGAACGTAAATGTTATTATATTCAACTTGCATATCCGACTGTCTCGTTGGCCAAGTGGTCGCAATTGCGACTGCCGGGCAAGGGGTCTCGGGTTCGATTCCCGGGTCAGGCAAAGTATTACTGGGTTTTCTAAAAATTCTCAGTAGTAGCACGGAATCTGCCCGGTATATGGCAATAGACTCACCCCCTATTACATGGGACTCATAACATAAATAGTGGAAAGTGGGTGTTACATTTGTACAGTGGTATAATGTGCACCTCTGCCTACCCCTTTGAGGATAAAAGGTGTGATGTTATTATGTGATGCATATCCATATGAAGTCTATCACCAACCATGATTATGACCACCAATTATGACTCTAGGACCATGATCGAAAATTTATTTAATGTGCCATAGTCATAGGTAGCATTGGTAAGTATATGTTTAAGTCAAATTTGGTTAGGTATTTGGTAGCAACATTACTACACTTTCCGACTAAATGCAGATGATTTATCTCTGTTACCAGTATGTGTTTTATGTCGACGTATAAGCCATGTTTATTTATTTGGGTACAAGATCTATACAATCATTTACACATGCTTTGTTTGCGATATATCGTGTAGTTTGTGGCTAGCAGTGGTCAAACCTTGAGCCACAACTGGAGTAGGTTTAGTATTTCGTGTTACTAGCATGTCCTACATTAAGTTGCGTGTTTTATAACTAGCATATTAGTTCAATGTTCTGCTTAAATAAATTGTTTTTGTGGGTTCAACAATCTGTAAACTCATTTCTATGAAATATAATCTAAATTGAGTGCTGAAGTCTATCAAATAATTTGGTCCAATCTAATTCAAGGCTTTTTTTCGGCATTTGAATTGGTGGTCAATTGAGAAGTATCCCATTTTGGCAATGTACTATATACATATATTGCTTTTGGAAATGAGCCCACAAAGAACTCAATGAAATAATGAAGATACGCAGTCAACCTGATGTCGTCGTGGTGGCCCGGAGGTTAAGACGCCCGCTTCTCTTGCATGAGAGTTCGGATTCGAAACCTACCAACGGCAAGTACCAATGTGACTTTTTCCGAGTTATATGTACTTTCTAAGATTATTTAAACACCACTGACAAACGGTGAAGTGCCGGTTCGAAACCTACCAACAGCAACCTGATGTCGTCGTGGTGGCCCGGAGGTTAAGACGCCCGCTTCTCTTGCATGAGAGTTCGGATTCGAAACCTACCAACGGCAAGTACCAATGTGACTTTTTCCGAGTTATATGTACTTTCTAAGATTATTTAAACACCACTGACAAACGGTGAAGGAAAACATCGTGAGGAAACATGGACTTATAATTTCTAATTATTAGTTTGAAATCGCCAACCCGCAATGAGCAAACGTGGTGATTAATGCTTAAACCTTCTGGGTGTGCATTTATAGGCTGTTGATGATGATGCAGTCAACCTAGATCAATATAAAATCTGCTATGATAATCACAAAGTAATTATCCATGTCTACCATTTGTAAGACATTTAAATTACCGCTGCTGACACAGAAGCTATTACTCAATTCGTTGAAAAGCTTGGGTGACCAAGCGTTAGCTGCCTGGGTTAATGGTGGATATTGCAATGTTTTAAAGACAAAAGCGCAATTTCCTACGGACTTTGCAGCCGGTAATTGTTGTCAAGATGGCGGCTCGTTTGCTACCGGAATACAAGAATTCTTTTGAATATGCTTGTCGAAGTAGTTGAGTCTCCATAATGTAGTCCATGTTGTAGACAAAATAATTATCACAGTGTTAGTAAGCGAGATAGCTACGTGTATGTATACTTTCCAATGTGGGTGACATTTTATTCTGCGGGCCACAGATAAACGGATTCAGTACTCAATAATTTTTTATTATCACTAAAACAGACCTCTTTGAACAACCAAATTAGCTCATAACATATCACCAATTAGTTCTAATTGGATAAACACTCCGAAGGTACGACATCGCATAATTACTGTCATTAAAAGGGATGATTGCAGTACGGTGTCGTGTTTTGGAATAATTCCAAGTTAGGAGCGCATGTAGGCGGATATTGCTTGGCCCACAATTGGTAAATTGGTCAATGTATTTCATTCAATATAGAGCTACCACCGTTTAAGGCTAACTCTTACGGAAATGTATTAGTAACTTTATGTAACATTGTGTTGATAAGAACTAAGAAGTAATTTCTTTAATGTAGTTCTTGATGCCTATTGTATACTATTTTATTCTATTAGAGTAAATAATGGTCTGTTAAGGAAATTCTGATAAAGATTACGAACCTATCTTATATATAATTCCCTTATACTATTATAAAAAGCGGAAGAGTTTGTTTTTTGTTTGTTTGTTTGAACGCGGTAATCTCAGGAACTACAAGTCTGATTTGAATAATTATTTTTGTGTTGGATAGCGCATTTATCGAGGATGGCTATAGGCTACAAAACATCACGCTACGACCAATAGGAGCTGAGCAGAGCGTGTGAAACCGCGAACTAGCTAGTCCCTTCATATAGATGCTTTAAAAATGTATGTAATCTTCGCATTATTGCATATTGCATACGACTGCAATTTGTAACCTTATACCCTGACAAAATGTCGGTCAATTATCTGACCATATGGCTGATACCCTGACATTGTTACCCGTTTTGGTAATCTTCACTGAACTTTTCATTGAAACGAGTTCTTTCAGCTTTATTACATTGACCTTGTATAAGAATTAACCCAATAATTATCAAAAGGAACAAAATATTTATCTATAAATGTGTTTAATTATTTATACTATACAATACAAAGTTTCTGTAACTAATAGTAAATAACGTCGTGGTGGCCCGAAGGTTAAGGCACTCGTTTCTCATGCATTAGGGTGCGGGTTCAAAACCTACCAACGGCAAGTATCAATGTGACTTTTTCCGAGTTATATATACTTTCTAAGATTATTTAGATACCACTGACAAACGGTGAAGGAAAAAATCGTGAGGAAACCTGGACTTATAATTTCTAATTATAAGTTTGAAATCGCCAACCCGCAATGAGCAAGCGTGGTGATTAATGCTCAAACCTTCTCAGTGTGAGAAGAGGCTTTGCTCTGCAGTGGGCATTTATACGCTGTTGGTGATGATACAAAGTTGAATGATGAACTCTAAAATATCACGTGTTCCCAAATTGGCACAGTGACGAAGAATGAGTTAAGTAATGACGTGTCTAAAAGATTAATAGTACATTGGAGTCTCACTGGAAATAAACAACACGTGTTTCGTTTTAATTCCCTAAAGTAACTCTTTACTTCATTGCGACGAATAAATTATATTAGTACTAACTCTAAGCTACGCCTTTGTTATTATAGAGGTAATCACTTATTAAATATTCATTACACTAGGGTTTAAGGCCGTAGTTATTATATTTCAGGTGACCTAATGTTTGTCTACCTCAAGTATTATAGGCACTATTCCTACTTTTGGAGCGGGAGTCATAAAATCCCACTAAGGTATTATAGATACATTTCACAGAGACAGTGCAGCAACGCTCTCTGATAAACCTGAAACTTAAGTGCGATCTTACTGGCTAATCCTGGAGATTAAGACAAAGAGGGTGATGTAATATTTTTAAGCAATAGATACTTGAGCTGTTGACAACAAACTTCAAGAGAAATGTTATTCATAACACTTTCTTTCTTCCATTATTAACAAAGATCTGTATAATTGTCTCGCCAAGCTTGGCTGGCCAAGCGTTAATTGTTGTAAATAGCTCGCGAGCTCATGATTTCTCCGATACAACTAAGATTATGCACAGTTCCTGATAATCGGTTTACGACCGAACATCCAGTGTACTTAATTGACACAAGATTGGCTTCTGTAAAACATCTAGAAACTGTAGTATCAAGATTTTTTTAAAGACATCTATGTAGTTTTCTGTTCGTTCTCCTTTATACGAGTAGTCTAATCAATGCTTTTCAACAATTCAGATAGACTGTTGGACATTGAAATAAATATGTAGGTATATTTGACTATGAAAAGATAGCCGGACTTACTCATAGAACAAATTACTATCGGTCAGCCCACCTATTTTGCAAAATGTAGCGATGCATTTGTCTTTATTTATGGAACAATGTAGGTACGTATGTATAGGGAAAAGTTGACACCATATATGTATAGAGTTACAATGTTATCTAACAAAACTGTATGACTATCGATAATAGTGTTTGTACAACATCGATAATTTTCCTTTACCATGAATTTTATAACGCAACAGTTCTTTTTCTATTTACGTCTCAATTATTTGAACAATTTATTTGTCTAGATCGTATCCATTGTATGACATCAGGTCACTAAGAAATAACAACTAACATAAGGACATTATGTCCTAGAAAGCAGTTTATATTTATTTCAATAAGGTTATTTTTCCTATGACGTGTTCCTACCTGTCCTATGTCCATTATGATTATAACTATATTATAAAAATATAAATAAATGGAGTTGTTATCAGAATATCTTTGACCTTGGAAGGCCAGCGGTCGATAGCGTCTGGCATGAGGTAGGTTCGTTTATTATTCAACAGGAAAGTTTTGTGGTATTTGTGGAATATTTATGATATGTTATTACTAGGGGGATAGGGACCTATTGAAACCTGCTTAAAATGTATAAATAAAATGTATTAAAAGTTGCATCGAAGAACATAGAAGATCGACGATAAGAATCCACAGATGAGTTTGCGACCAGCAAAGTTACATACAACTGTTGGGCAGTAACTAGACATGACCACTTCACCTGGCCGGAGTATCCTTCCTTTTCCCAACTTGTAAAATGTTATTTCATACAAGCCTCACCTGTATCCATAGGCCCATTCCAGCTTCAATTTGCTCTGCGGTGGTGGAGCGACTTTCGCAGGGTCCAGGCCTTCATGTTCGCTAGGAGCATACAGCACCACAGGTCGGCCTCGCAGGTACATGCGCATCGTACCATCTTCCTCGTTGTACTGACATGTGTGGGTGCTGCAAAGATGGCGAATGATCATTATGTATTTAGTATTACGATCTGAGGAGATGTACCATTTCATGCTTTGTTTGTTTGTCCACTGCTTCCAATTAGTACATGAATTGGAGCAGTGGAGGATTCAACATACAGTTTCAGTTTCTATTTAGAGTCTCAATTTTATAAGTTTAAATGAAAAATGGCTTTGGAAGTGGAAAGGTGGGCTAAGGAGACCCGACCCGGTTTGTACTTTCGTAGCAATTGTTATTCTTGCTAGATAATGAATCCAGCACTGGATTAGAGTATAGAGCAAAATAATTAGTATCCATGGCAATAAGTAATGACAATGTTTTATCATTATCATTTGTATGGGATAGGGGGGCTAACGAGCAGACGGGACACCTGCTTATAGCACCTGGACATTTGAATCATACTGTCGAGAGCCAGTTGAGGAGAGGGGTCAGGCTTTATGGTTCAATGAACCTTCCCAATGATTAAATCCAGGCAACAGTTTGAAACAAAAGGTAACATTTTAACTCTCTTATAACTTCTTAATTGAAATTAAAGTAGATATCTTTTTTAAAGCAAAATAATTTTTGTTTAATTTTCGACTTTACATACGACAAAAAGATGTAGGTAATGCATCGAGAGCCATCTTATTTTGGGTGATAAAATAAGCCGTTTGCAAGAGTGATAAGAAATGAGCATGTTTGTAGATAAAATTCACAACTAAAGTAACTTTACTCTGGAGAATTTTAGAGACTTGAAATATTTCAAGAAAGCGAAAAATTTAGACTCTTTGGAGGTACAGTGAGTAAGTAAAGTACAACAAACTTTGTATAAAGGGCTGATTCATTTCATGTTTGTTTTAACTTGCTTTCCAGAAATACAAATGTTGTAATATTACAGGAAAAAATGTACAAATAAACAATTTCTGCGAATAAAACGTGGATTCTTAAAACTAGGACGTAAACAAACATTAATTGGTTAGTCAAATGCAGTACTTAATTAGTAATTATAAAATATGTTAATGTGAGATGTATACCTAAGTGCAATATGTTAGTAAATAATTAGAAAACACATAAAGTGACATATAACCAAGTCCTGTTTTTTTTAATTAATTTACAAATGACGACATAGATATAAGGACTTGTCTACAGGGCTTATGTTTCTGAATTAGAAATAAAGTGTGTTCCTTTTAATTATGTCTAATAGGTAAATGATTCTATACGCAATTTATTTTCCATATTTCCGTAATATCATTTTAATATTGATTTAATGAGGTCAGAATTTTACATACAGATTAAGAGCATTTTACATGATGTGCAATAAGAAGTTAAATGTAGTAAATCTATTTTAATATCTAGACCATAAAGGAAAAATCAGAGAATAGGGAAAAATTGGTATGTAGGGGAAAAATATTTATTTTATGAAACCTTTGCAGCCAAACACATAGTTTATGAATATAATTCTTCAGTCAATGGTTGTCTGAGAAGCTGAAGTGTAGCTAGAATAGATTGCGAAATAAATAGAAATGTGAAGAAGACACCAAATCCTCATACCGATGATATCTAGACTATGATCAGAAGCGCCGCCCACCATAAGTTTATTAAATTAGTTGAAGCATTATTTTAGCAAAGAACAAGTCACCGCTCCGCAAACACACAAAAGCCTGAATTCGCAAAAAATCCCAAGCGAACTTACATCGAGGTGAATGACATTGTTACTTCCAAGATGCGTTTAGCATCGGCCCACTATTAACAAAAATATATTATAGCCACCCGCGCAGTAAGCCAGTGTCCAACTACACGACACTAAATAATCTAAAATAAAATACACACATGTTATGCTTTTATACAACAAATATAATGATCATTAACGCTCACTGATAAGATCAGTGAATGTACTAAGCCTACATATCGTACAGCTGTACTATTTACATACAAATTAAACAAATTGCTGAAGTAATCTATTTAAGTGAGCAACCGGCGAACTAATGTTTGTAATGGCAAATCAATTTATTCTAATTTATTTTCGTAACTAAAACGGAAAGAAAATGCCGGTGTTGTTAAGGACAACATCTAGTCAGTTATAACTGTAAACATTAATATAATTTAAACAGAAGAAAAAGTAATAGTGATTTTACCCTTCTTCCATGGCGCCAAAATATCTGTCAGTAAAACTTTTTTTAAAGTCAAATAAGGCAAAGGATATCGAGTATACGGCCACGAACTTTTAAAAAACCGGTATGCGAGGCACGGTCGCGATTCATACAGCCGGCTGCCAAGAATATCTTAGCCAGACTGCGTGCGGTGAAGAATGAGCTAACCATGAAGTTAGTTTCAAGTTTGCTGCTTGAACCGCTGGATTTGTTCCATTTCCATTACTGAGTTTTATGTACTGTTCATTTCTACTTTAATGGAATATACAGCATTGTAATTGAAGCAATGAGTATTTGCCTTTATGACTATAGTATTATTGTACGGGTTTCGCAAATAATTCTATGACTGTAGTGAGTCATCGTCATGATTGAACAATGTCAGCGATGACGTTTAGTTGGATTTAAGGATATTATCATTTTACAGGTGATGTTGTTGACTAGATAATGGACACAATTGTTCCTGTGCCTGTGTCTAGATCAAGGTCAAACATCATACATTATATTAGACGCCACCTATAAGTTTTATTTTTAAACTGTTGACAATTGAGGAAGTTTTTTAGGAAGATAATTTTGTTTTATGAAAGAGAGAGTATAGCACATATACTAATACTTGATTAGTAGTCGAATAAAAGAAAAATATGCAAATAAAAGGAAAATTACTATTATTCTTAAATATCCTTAAGTACTTAGGTAGTTACCAGGTCAATAACTACTTATTTAATTTAATATGAAATTATGAGCTACTAAAAATAATAGTGGAAACTATTTAATAGCCAGGTAATTTTACGACTGGATATTTAATATTATATTCACATTAAATTATAGTATAGTACTTTAAACTTTCAATATTAAATTTAAATAGTATACATAAATATGCTAAAAAACAAATTTAGCGTTTCGTTCAATCGTCTAACAAAAATCCTAACCCCCAAACTTATTTTGCAATCTTTAACTTCGAATAGCTCAATTTTACAACAAAATACATCACAATATTTATCTCAAATCCATGACTAATTCAGTTTAGAAACAGTTTCAGCTTGTGTCCAAAAACGGAGCAGTTTTATTAAACGACACGGTGGCTTAGATTAACATTTAAATGATGGATATAATAAAATCCTCATCAATTTCCCAGTGTTTGGAAGCTTCCTGTGACAAAATGATATATTTGAGCCACCCACGCGATCATCTAAGTAGGTACCTCTATTATTCTATAAACTCTATTCAATACATTCTTCTACATAGACAACTAGGGATTGAAGTAAATCAAGTGTTAAGGCCGAATTGAGGATTAGTTTGGTAGGTCCAATTTATAATACCTATTAATTGGTTATCGAAAAAAAATAAACAATAAAATATGTATTATTATGTATATGTATGATTTTTTTTAAGGGGGGAAAATTATCAAATGTCGGCTTCCGCCTGGGTGAGGCGGGAGGGAGTGTCAGACACTTACTGACTAAAAACCACCCCGTTCCTTCTCCTGCACGTCGAGCCGGAGCCCCGGTAACCCGTAAGGTTCTCCGCGACCGACATGGATAATATGTATATATACATATAACGTAGGTACTTATTTGTATGACTAATAAATTAAGAGACATAGAAAACCTTTAAATGCTTTCCAGAATTAAAGGCAAAGAAATTTTTAAATTTGACTACTAAGGTAAATTTTTGCAATTTCTTAATCTTCTTCATTATTATTTAACACGGCAACATCAGCAAACCCCAAATCATAAGCAGAATTTCACACCAAACTCAGAAGTTTATTCTCTATTCTGAATGACACAATATGGAACGTTGTTTACCGAAAGCCGAGTTAAACATATTAATGTCTCGGCCCTCGGCATTAGCCAAGATTAATCCCAACACTAATAGTCTATGATGTGATGGACGTCCATTACGGTCTACGGAGCAATCAGATGCGCTAGCGTGGGCAATGTTACACAATACACAGTTTTTGTCCTCTACCGAGCATACAAATTACCATGCGAACCTGCCAATGTACTTCTATGTAAATATCAAGATTCTTTGCGATCGTACTAATAAGAAATACATACGGTTGGTAGGTAAGAAATGTATTAACTTGTTGCTTTAACTGCAGTTTGTGGCTCGACTTAATGAGTCTAAATAAATGTTTGGGCACTGGAGTTGTGTTTAGTGTTTCGCTATAAACTAGCTATTTACATGGTACATAATGGTATTAGTAAGATAAATGGCAAAGGGTCTGTAACGTACGTGCACTTTATAGCACAGCCGACTGGCGGTGTAACAATGTTTAACAGATTGCGGTGTTACTGATTTTGTAAATGATTGATGGCTGATACGAGTATGTAATTATCGGGAGACTTAAATTAAATAACAATCGTAACTAAGTATTTTTCGCTGATTGTATTTCCAAGAAAATAGTTTAAGTTATACAGTGGTAAGCACTAGGCGAGATAGTGGTCAAACGTCAGTCCATCAAATATATTACGTATATGTATATAAAAAAAAAAACATTACACCATCGATCAAACACATGTCTTCACATAACATGTAGGTACACCTAGATACATACATAATGTATCGTCACAGAACAATAGACCTCAAGGTCATCCATTATTTATCTCGAGTAGAGAAGCAACTGTTACGTCAACTCTAAATAACCTGTAATTGTCGGTTTTTGCACCAGACTCTACTAATGATTACTGATTACCTCCTATGAGTATTTGATTGGACGTAGTTTAACAAATATATTTAAGTTTAGTCTTGTTTTGACACAGACCTGTGTTTGTTTTCTACAGATGTTGGGTTTTCCGTCGATCATTTTGCATTTAAGGCAAAGAAAAGAAGGAAAATTCCCAGGAAATTGAGTATGAAATGCGGTTTGAAGAAGTTTGGTAACGCATTAAACAAAAAAATAAAAGTACACACGCAGTTTATTTCGTTGGTAAATATTTTCTAGCATGCTTACTACACTTTACAATTCCATCTTAAACAAACATTAACCATTCGATAATCTTATTAAGCGACCATAATGATGCACTTAGATCTAATGTTACTCTTAATAGAGGTATAACTCTTAGGTTATTTATAACTCAAGCCACAAACCATATCACCAAAAACTTAATATAAAACTCCAAACTCATTCAAGTTAGTCCCAATAGTGTTACGAGCCCGCCACCATCCAACGTGAAGGTTTACTAACTTACCCATGTTTCAGAATCGGTCCATTTTGTGACGGCTTAGAATATAAGTTTAGCAACGACTTTGTTGTAGTGAATCTAGAGAGAGTACAAAAAACAATTAGACATTACAGGAAAATAAGGAATGAGGGCTGTCGTGACAGTTACTCGCAAATGGCGCTAGTGAGCACTGGTCTCTTATCCAATTTAAAATTTATTGACCTGTTCATCGTGGGATATACGAAATTATTTGAAAAATATGGTTTGATCACGTGAATGAACCATTCGAGAAAATACTGTAGTACCCTACTAGTTTTAAGTCAAACCTACCAGAAGAGTACGCGATGGTTTGAGCTTTTTTCGAAAGATTAATGAGAGTAAACAGTATTTTTATAGTATAGGTAAAGTCAAGTTATTGGACATTTAATTTTTGATTGTGTGCTTTTATCGCCATCTGGTCAACGAAAACGATGGCCCCCATTGTGATAGCAAGAGTTTGACACATTGCATTGAAATTGGCGCTAGTGTGGAGTAACAGATACTAACTAACGAATTGTGTGCAAAATAAAGAACAAATAAATGAAATATTTTAAGCGTGTTGATTTGAAGCCTCGAAGTAAGCGGTGGTGGTGTTTATACAACTGATAATTTTAGGCCTCCCTGTATTTAAATAACTCGAAGTTATTCGATTAAAATTGTATTAGGTGCCTGATTTCATTTTAGACGAAGGAATGTTCACTAGTAATATTTGGACAGAGTGTGTTCAGCAACCACTCCGAATTCACTTTGGCTGAATCAGTCATAACGCCAGGCGAAGTTCTGAAGATTTCCTTTTAATACCTCGGAAGATTTACCTCTTTTTATTGTTGCAGCCTTCCCCAAAATTCTATCACGGAAGCACTTACTCCGAGGCGGCATAGTGACATACACATACCTAGTGCTAGGCAGCAGTCCCTGGGCGTTGAAGTCTCCGGTGGAGTTCCAGCGCTTGGTGAGGTTGTTGACCCCGGGCGAGACGCTCTGGTTGCTGGACGTAGAGTTGTTTCGTGATCTAGATGCCAACGATATCACTACCATACTAGCTCGCTAGACTACTTAAATAAATAATAAAGCCTAGACGAATCATGATGGCCAGTGTATCTAACTAGACTAGCCCACTACGTAAGAGATATCATAGTGCACAAGTGAGCACGCAAACATAGCTGTATTCTCTATTCCCTCACTCTCGTAACCCGATGGGTGGGCAGACCGACACGGCCGCATAGAGGTCAGGAGCAACGTGATAACAAGCACGGGGGTGAAACAACGCTAAGGTTAGCGCCGCCAGGCTACTCTATGGTATTAAGATTTGCGAAGTGGCTAGTCCAGGTAAGTTCTACATTTCTAGTTTCTGTGCTCTCTTGAAACATTTAGCTACTGAGTATAGCTTCTACTCATTAATACTAGAGATATTTCTTACAACAACTCAATCATCAACCTACTGATTCTTAAGTGTTTTTATTATGCTTTTAAAGAAAGTGGGATTGAAGGAGCTGTAATTTTATGTAAGGTGAAATGAGTTTGTCAATAAAAACTTTTTTTTGTTTGGCAAAACAGAGTGTGATATTCATGGCAACTCATTATGAATATTAGTATTCAACTTACTTTCTAGACTTCAACTTTTAGAAGTTATGATACGACCTTTTAGTTGGTTTTCTTCATGTATAATTAATAATTACTACAAAGATAACTTTAACATTTTGACCTTATTGGTCACATATGCGAAGCCTCATGCAACAGGCAGTTCACTTCTAAGAAGTATTAAGTAGTTCAGATAATACATTCATTTCTGTGAGGCTTTCAAACCATTGACTCTAACAGTTTACAGTAATAAAGATAGTTATTCCAGTGTTGTATGATTTATACCTGTAAGGTTGTAAAGGTGCATGGTGTGGTGCAGGTGTGGCGCGGGGCGAGGGTGATGGAGCTGGTGATAGAGATGAAGAAGATGCTGGCGAGTCCGACTGCAAGGAACCCGTTGATTGGTGCTGAGGTCCGCGTCTGAGGAGTAAGACGTTTATGTTAGTTGATTTCATGGTATAATGACTTATGATTATAATTCAGAGGTGTGTGATAGTCTCTGACATTTCAGGTCCGTTAGCATTTTTAAATAATAATATTTTTTGCCTGCTAATTAATTAATAGATGAAGAGATCAAAAATTATTTGACTAATTGTCAGTGTAATAAATATTATTATAATTAATTGGGTTTTTTATGGGCGTAAATCATCGAATGGCTTCTCTCGCTCGGGTGAGGCGGGAGGGAGTGTCAGACTCTTACTGACTAAAAACCACCCCGTTCCTTCTCCTGCACTTCGATCCGGAGCCCCGGTAACCCGTTAGGTTCTCCGCGAATTAATTGGGTACAGGATACATGTAAATTGTATATATAATTAGTAAACCTATAAGGTAATAAAGTTTTTGATGGAGTGGTTGGTCTGCTTGTTATTAGTATTATTGTGCATGTGAAGTGATGTGTTTGTTTGCCAACGCACACGACATAGGAGAACATCTTAGTTTTTTAATTAATAGTAGAAGTAATTAGTAGTGGTACCTTTGTGGTAGTGAGGATATATTGGATCCGTAGCTGGAGGTCCTCTTGGCAGTCTCCCGGTACGACGGCTGCTTCAGTCGTAGCTCTCTCGTCGGGGTACCCGTAGAACCTGAAAATAAAGAAAATAAGAGGTTATTATATTTATATCTAATTTTATTTGTCATCCAGTCGGTAATAGTGAACTCTAGTTCAGTTTACTTGTTTCATATAATGCAATACTTTTTAGAGACATTGATGTCCAATCGATTTTTATTTCTATTCTATTATCAAAAAACAAAATGAACTATTGTAATTAAGTAATCGAACTTTTATTTTATTAGAATTCACAATGCTGAGTACTTTAGTAGTAGGACTAGGTTAATTATAATAATGGCGGTAACTTCCACACGCAATAATATATTTCGTACTAAAACTTATAAATAGAATCTATATTATTTTAATCTAGCTTTAACTTACTAAGGACCTTCACGGATTAGGCAGTGTGCAGTGTAATAACATGAGAAACATGAAGATTGATTTTCAATTTACATGCCTAGCTTTATGATAAAAAACTTAAGTCATTTCCAAGCTAAATGTCATCATAAAATCGCGTAGAAAGAGCACACACCCCTAATTTACTTACAAAGCGTATGTGGAAATTAATTAATAACTTTAATCAAGGAAATTAGCATGATTTCCCATAATTATAATACAGTGGTTCGCTATAAGATACTCATTTAGATGTATCACTTCCGTGGGATAGTGAGTCAGATAGCTTGTTCTCAAACGATTGCTCGATGAACTAGAAAGACCTGCTTAATAAGGTGAAGGTAATTTGAAGATTTATATCAATTTGGGAACTAAATAATGTCAAAGTTGTCAAGCAGTTTTATAGTATGTAATTTGATAACGACTGAACAGAATGGTATGAGATTTGGTTAAAGATGAATCAATTTTTATGAGAGGCTTTTAATGAGATCTGGATGTTAGATCTGTGTGTGATTCCTATCGGAACAGTCGTTAGTGCATCAGAACTTTTCCAAAAACATTAAAACCTTTTCCGTACCTAAGCTAACCATGCACTAAATTTCGGATCCTAAGACGCAAGCCTGGACTTAGGATGTCACCAAATTATGATGGAACAGAAGTACTGGCAGAAGTAGTTTTACCATAAGCTACTACCTACTAGGCACTAATAAATTGCAGGAGATACAATCACAACATTTGTGTGTACCACATTAACACTGTGCTACGTCTAATAACATAATCGGTCCACGTCAAGCGAATGATATATTATGAAAGGCTACTTTAATGTAGGTACTAGTGCCCAGGTCATGTAACTATTAATTTAGTACATTAAATATAAAAAACTATAGCCAACAGTGAAAGGATAATGTTTTGCAAATATTGATATAGGTTTATACGGTCTATATTGAAATAATGAATTTTGTATGTAGTTTTTTCAATACCTACTCTTTATCACTTAGTAAACGATACTAATGTCAGAATTTTTGGGCATGTAAGAGGTACACTTTAATCATAATATAACATCCCGCCTTTTATTCCCTTGGGGGTAGGCAGAGGTACACATTACGGCACTTAAAGCCATCATGCAATGTAACTTTTCACTATTTATGTTATGGGTCCCATGTAATAGGGGGTGAGCCTATTTAATTATTAATTTAATCAATGTACAATTATTTGCCCAGACCAGATGCATGGAAGTGAAGGAAAACAAGAACTGTCCCGTACAGTTACAGCAACTTGATAAATATTATAAAACAATGAATTCGCAGTTCATTTAATGATGATATCAAAAAACAAATGGCTGTCTGCTTTGTAGTTTGTACCTATTAGTCAAGCTTTACGTCTAGTTTCGAAAACAAACATACTATTTTTTTTTTCTTTTACTGTTATTTTTATGGTAAAAAAATATTTATTGCTATATTGATATATTGCCTGTTTAGTTGTTTATAAGAGCAATATATCTAATTAACTAGTGACTATTGACCGATAATTCTAAAACTATGTTTTTAACAAGGCTAAAGTTCGATTGACTTAAATTGCAGTCAAAGACAAATCTTTGAATCAGTGCTTTTTACTGAGAATCGGGTTTTAAAATCTACAAATATCTATATTATTTCAAGTATAAACCTGCTTATGAAACTTTTGGCAAATAAATTATTTCTGATTTCTGAAACCCTTTAAAGACAGATATCATCAAATACAAAAAAAAGTATTTACCAGAATAAGCACCATTTCTCTGTCCCGCGCTGGGTGCGGTGGGGGCTCGACCCTCGAGAGCGTTGAGCCTCCTCAGGGCGTCAGCTAGCGTTGACCGGAGACACAGCAGCTCCTCGGCCTGACGAGCACACCGCACCTCCAGCTCAGCAACCCTGGCTGCCAGCCCCGCACCCTCACCTTCTAGCATCTCATCTGAAATTGGGAACAAAATATAATTTAGTATTTTATATTACGTATTGATGACCTATGCATTAGAATAGGTACCATATTGTCTCTTCAATAGAATTCAGAGTTCGTTACAAAACAGATTTCCGTCCGCTTCTTTGGTTTCACGAATTACAACTTTACCCTCTGATGCAAACCCCGCAAATTTTTGCTCAGCAAGAATTTCGGATAGACAGACAGACGTGGCGTAGGATTTAGTTTTGTAAATATAAGACAATTAAGTTCAAAATCTATTAAAGGGGTAGCTTTATGTGCTGTTAGCGGTACATTTATATCAGTGGATGATGAAACGCGGATGTAGACCAAAGTTATGACTAACGCATTTGTATAGATAGAAAGTGTTTAGAACTATTAATATTCTGCAATAAACATTACTTCAATGGATTAAATCGAAGAAATCAATTAATTTACAAAACAATTTATATTGCAACTCGTAATTCTTTATAACATCGACGGCAAATTCATTACGGGTTTACTATCGGCAATTACCATTGCTTTCACACATCGATGTAACTCCAACACATTCGTGAATGTGATGAGTTTCTTAATATTGATTGCAGTAACGCCAAGACTAATTATGTTAGCAATTACTTACGTCAATAGGAAGTATTGAATAATATTTCTAAAGAATCGATAGACTAATCATTCATTGATAGAATTGAAAAGAAGTTTCTGACAAGAGATTACAGATTTAACTTGATAAGGAAATAGAAGGTAACAAGGTGACCGATAAACATAAAGATGTTCGCAAAATCTTACGAAAGTCAAAAGAAGATAAGTGTTGATGACTTTATCATTACTTCTCGATTGTTGGCCAAACGCTGACCAATCACAACATTATGTAGCAATGGCGGCTACAACAGAATTGGTTTGCAAATTCAGCTCCTTAGTTGACACACTATTGTGTCCCGAACAATAGTCTAAACGAGTGCGCTAACAAAAAATGCACACTACAAAGCAATATGGACTTTATGCCGTACGTGTAAAAGTTAATTGGAGCAGCGTTAATAACGTCGTATGTTATTGTGCACAGTGGCGTGCAGTCCATATAGGCAAAAAGGCTTTGCTTGACATAAAATGTACAAACGCGTTTATTAAGATTCAATAATAAAATAAAAGTTTGTAAAAAACGGCTAACATAAATATACATTCACATATACTATACACGGACCGCACGCCTTTGTAAAGCAATGAATGCGCCCCGCACGCACCACGCATGCGCTACTATTCCTTAAATCTTGGTTGTTGGTTGTGACGTCACAAAAAGTATGCAACGCGCATGCGTGAAGGTCACGTGACTATGGTCACAGCAGAGAATAACCATTCATAAACGCAAAAAAGTCATTGTTGCCGGCCTTTGAAATTTATGAATCTGCGCCATCTATTGAATTTTTTGTTAAAACTTCTGAACACGTTCGATATAATGCGAATGTCTTTTTATAATTATGCATACTAAAAAAATATGTTTCAGGTATTTTAATTAAATCTTAACATTTTTACGCGTTGTCGGTTTACAGAAACTTTAAACGAGGAGTTGACTTTATTATTTTAAAAGTAAAAAGGAATAACTTTTGAGTAGCGGCAACTTGACGTTTTGATAACTCAAAGTTTCAAATTGTTATCAACGAATGTTTCTTATTGGAAAATAATAATAAGACAATGACGGAACTCCATTTGACTTATGTAAATTAACGTTTTGTTTTTTTATAATTAAACACTGGGTTGCCTTAATGTTATAGCTATAATTTTTTTATAATAAACACTCAATTGACTACGATGGGTTCATTCATTCCAATGTTTTCGGCCATATTGTTTTCATGTGATGTGCGATCGCTTTGTTTATGTTTTCGTTTAAATATAAGGAATTAGTTTTAAACATAAAGTTGCATAAATATGTGTAGAAGTAGTTAAATGTATGTGTAGGTTTTTCAAATAGTGTATTTGTTTATCAGTGTCTAGTACAAGTACCTATATTATTCGATTGTGAAGTTTGTGTTGATAATAGATAATTTTTTGTGTTTGTTGAAAGTTAAAAACAGTAAGTTTTCGCAAAAATGTGTCCTACAACGACTAGATTCAGGTAATGACCATAGGCAGTACTCAAGTTACGAGAATTGACCCAAGTCAAAGGTAGGTAATGTAAATATTATGTACTTTAATGGATCTTTTATTGATTTTCTTGTTTGATAATTCTTAAAAATATCAACTTAGACTTCGGGTTGTACTGATTTACATATTAATTTATTATTAATAATTATGTAATGTAATAACAAATGTACCGCTTATAAATACTCGGCTCGGCCACAGCCGGCCGCGCTTGTTATTGTTTTGTTTGTTGGTAGGTACCTACGTTCTTAAATTCGTAATATAATATAATATAATATTATTATGATTTTGAATAGATTATCTAGCAATTCGATAATTGAATTTGGTTCATCAAATTTATGCTTCATTATTAGTATAATTAATAGATGTTCAATTATTTGTAAGTTTTGTTGGCTTATTACATAGCTGATGAAGTAGTTCACAAAAAATACGCGAGATGTCAGTGTATGTAATTTGGCGACAGAATAAACCACAATATTCTTGAACGCACTTTTCAAAATGTATTCTGTACATGTAGGTACCTGTCTTGTGTGAGTATGATTGTCATTGTATGACCGGGGGGGAGGGGTTTAATCATACGATATTTAATTGCCTACCCTGTCTAGAAAACCTGTGCACGCCACTGATTGTGCACCACGTCACGGTAGAGAGCTATCGGTAGTCGTTTGCAAGGACTTGTTTTGTTTATTTATAGCTGTTTCCAACTTGTTCGATTGTATTTGCACATGTTTGTTACATAATGAATTTATAACATGTGGGTCTAGGTCGATTCTAGGACATCTAACGAAGTTCATATGACAATTCATCGTCGTCAGTTATTGTTTTATTATGCTGAGAAAATATGTATCATTGTTTTAGCTCATAATATGAATAGCTAATGATAGCCGGGACGATTGTATGTTCACAGTAAACAAGTGTCAAAGAATTACTAACTACTTTCCCAGGATAGTTTCCCAGTAGACACGTTAGACTAAGAACAGCATGAAAAACGTTATGATAGAAAACCAGAAATTTTAATACAAAAAGTGATTCACGAATCAGTGCCACACACTAGCTACAATGGTGCCAAAGATAAAGAGGCTTTGCACATGACGTTTTACGCGCATTAAACGTAAGCCGGACGCCTAGCAAACGTGAAGATCTCAATGTTATATTTTTGAATAAGATGACACTTGTATCACTGCAAACGCGTTGGAGAACAAACGTATTGAAGATATTGATCAAAAAACGGTGCGACAAAAACGTTATGTGCAAACACCCTTGAATTTTTGAGGTGGAGACTCACGCCACGCAGCGTAGACATCGTTCATGGTGTCTCCAGGCGAGTCGCTCGCCCTGGAGCTCCTGGAGTCGCGGTCCCCGTGGCTTTCCATCCTCAGTGGCACTTAGTGGACGATTTGGCACATATTAGCTACAGTATACCGTATTCAGTTCATGCTTCTTGGGGTTTTATAAAACTTCTGTTTATAGACATTTGTTTGTATTTGTTTTGTTAACGATGTTTCGGTATTTATTATTTTAATTGTTTATAACTAATGCTATAGATAAACAATGATTCAGTTTACTCCGGTATGCGGTGTTTCAATATCAGAATGGGTAGTTCATAAAGACTGCACGGTTGGTGCGGTGGCTGGGCAACCGGCTGCCGTGCAACGTGTCGCGGGTTCGATTCCCGCACGGGACAACACTTTGTGTGATCCACAAATTGTTGTTCCTGGTCTGGGTGTCATTGTGTATGTAAACTTGTATGTTTGTAAACGCACCCACGACACAGGAGAAAATCCTAGTGTGGGGCAACGTTTTTTTAAAAACAAAAATAAAAAAAAGGTCTACGAATCGTGATCATAACATTTATATAGGTCAGAAACAGACCTATAGAGAACATCGCTATAGGCTGAAGAGGGATTTTCCGTCATGAACCTCGTCTGGATGTCCTCTGAATTCTTTTCAACGTTTAGAACTTTAGACCCTTCACGAGAAAAGTTTGGTTACCTCCCAAACTTCGCAAAACTTAAGTTTGCAAAATCTATTTGCGTAGCAGAATAATTGCAATAATGCGTGTAACAATGTTCATAGGTAAGGTACAGTCGCGTAGTAAAGTCACTTTCCCACATATTGAGGAATTCGGGTAACGGTGAATGTACAGGTGTGGTCTGCGGTCGTTTGCATAAACATGTGCATTCTATTGGTAACTGTACCTCGGTTCATCTCGTCTTGGCCGCGGTGACCTTTTGTTTATAGTCTTTAAGTAAATGACCCGCATAGCGGTCACTTGGCTGATCTTGTATTAAGAATCAGCTGTTATGGGTCAGGGTAGATTTTTGAGTGATAAAAAATAAACATCAGTAAACGAAGTATGGAAGCTTCAATTTGAAGGTGATTTAAATGAATGTTTTGATGTTTTTTTTATTTAACTCGTCGAGTACCGGTTTTGTAGAAACAATTATAGAACAATAGGTTGCGGTCACCGGTGACCGCTTGGTGTTTGACAGTTTAAACTAAGAATTCTAATCGTTTAATCTCGTTCTATTTTCCCAATTGTAAAGGTACACCAGCTTTTTGGTTAATTTTAGTTTCTAATATAATATAATATTATAATAACGTAACATTAAGCTTTATATCCCTGAAGGGGTAGGCAGACGTGTACATTACGGCACTTAATGCCACACACATTCAATGTGGCAATAACACCCACTTTTCATTACTTATGTTATGAGTCTCATGTAATAGGGGGTGAGCCTATTGCTATATACCGGGCACAATTCCAAACTCCGTGCTACTACTTTGCCTGACCCGAGAATCGAATCCGAGACCCCTTGCCCGGCAGTCGCACTTGCGACCACTCAGCCAACAATATTATA